CTTTCATGATCTATGCAGTCAAAGGCTTTGCTATAGTCTATAAAGCAGTTGGATGATGCCATTGAGTAAACCAAATCTGGGAAACCTCTTCCACTCAGAGGACAAAATTTAGTGTCAGAGAATTACTTGGGCACCTCATTCCATTGGTGGGCAGAACCAACAGAAAAAGGTGGGACCAAAATTACTGATATGTTTTAGCTTAAAGCTCAGTAACTACACCTAAGAGAGGCATTCCAGTGGTTCAAAATGGGTTGTGGAGAGCCATACAAAAGCTAAGAAGACATCAAATGATGGTATCACCAAAAAAAAGAAGAAGAAGCTACGGCCTTCTGGAGGTGCCCAGGGGGTGAACTGGGATCCAAGTGAGTCTGGATTTGGCTCTCAGGACCTGAAATTCTTTACCCCTGAACTAAATATAAACAGCTCCAATAACTGCATAGAAGCCTGTACTACACGTTCATCCTCATCCAACAGCAAAACGTCACTCCTCCAAACAACAGGCAGATGATCCTCCCTGCAGCCAAGTATGTTTTCCACTGTGCCCCAGATTCCTGCTACAACCAGCAGTCATTCTGAATTATTTTTCTTCCTAGCAAGCACTCCACACATTTTGCCCTTCTTCAGCCTCCAGCTGGCCATTAACAGCTTCCTACAGCGACCTTTGTTTTGCTTTTTTGGTGGGATGACGCATCCATTTCCAGGCTTGCAAAGACTGTTTCCTTTTTCAAAGAACAGATCATGGATGGACCAAGCCTAAATCCATGTGTGCTGAAAAAGGTCTGTGCAAGGAGCAAAGCCAAGCTGAACACAGCACAGTTTCAGCCTAGCATTCTTTCAGATCTTAAAGAGTCTCACTCACTTTTAATATCAATCCTAAGAAAACAGAGCAGCTAATGTACACAATGGATTCTTTTCCTTGTTTTAAAAAAAAATAGCCACATTGAAGAGATGAATGGCTTTTTGGATTTCTTCATCCCTTGCTCTTAAAGGCCACACCACTAAATTGCTTCTGCATCCCTGGCTTAACCTATAAGATCAATAAACAGTGCAGACATCAGAGATGAGGAAAGAGAAAGAGAGAGAGAAAGAGAGAGGATTCCATAGCTTTGCTGAAAGTTTTCCTCCGAAACAGAAAACTTTCCCAAGCTCTGCCCATGAGAAGAACTAGCCTAACAGCCAGCATGGCATAGTGGTATGAGCATTGGACTAGAGCTCAGGAGACCAGGGTTCGAATCCCAGCTCACCCATAGAAACCCACTAGGTAATGTTGAGCAAGTTACACTCTCTCAGCCTCAAAGGAAAGCAAAGAACCATCCCCTCAGAAAAATCTTGCCAAAAAAACTCTGTGACAAGTTCGCTTGAGGGGCACCATAAGTCAGAAATCACTTGAAGGTGCACAACAACAATCACCAAAGCCCACGGGCATCCCAATCTGGGGATGTAATAGAAAAATCATATTTCTTTCCTGATAAAACCTACCACAGGTATCCACCTCTGTGAGAAGGCAAAATTTTTAAAATCCCTGGTCTCTGCAAAGCAGGTGGATATGAATAGCTTTATGAATGTGTACTTGAAAGCTGGCCTCTGCAGCATAGTTAATGAAGAGCCTTCAATAAAAAATGTGAAGCAAGAACACAAGCTTTTGTTTTAAACTAAATTCAAAATAAATCTGAATAGATTTGAAGTCGCCTTGGGGAGTTTTCAGAGCTGGACTATTGGTGACTAACTTTCAGGCATGACTGACAACTTCAGTTTGTTACTTGAAAATCTCATTACTGCAGATAAGGAACAAATCAATGACAGGGATCTCTTCAGTTCTTGATTATGAAGCAATAAAACCTGGAAAGTCATGAAGAGTCACATTTCCTTGCTTTGACTTTAGGAGGTCAATAACATGTAAACTCCTCTGTATACGTCTGGTCTAAGTCTGGTCTAAGTCTTAAACCAAGCCTCCAATACTCTCCCAGTTACCTGTCTTTATGGTTCTTGCTTAGCCAAGGAATCAACAGGTGGAGGAGAAAAAAGAGAAGAGCATACACTTGCCTTATTACCTTGTTTCCATTCCTCACCTTCCCACTCTGAATCTGAAACTGTTCCAACACACGTGCCTGCTATACTCCGTTGTGCTAGCTAACAACAGTGCTAAGGGTTACATGGGTGCAGCAGGACAGACAATCTCCCTCACATACCAAAGATATGCTGTCCCAGCAAAAGGTGCACAAATGCACGTAACTGGAAATAGATGAGAATGAAACTGAGAGGTATAGAACCTAACTCTTCAACAATACTGCTTCTTCCACCATCTCCTTTAGCCCCACTAATGCAGGGAGACACTACATTCTCCAGCATAAAGTCTGCTCAGCACACTCTAGTTTCTCCCCCACCCCTCTCAAAAATTTTGACAAATCTAAAACGGACTTCACAGATCCAGAGTTCCTTCAGATGTTCCCTGCTTCCTCAAAATGTCCCGTTTATTTTTAGCAACTGCAATCTCTTCACAAAGCATTTTGCATTACAAGGGGTTTCATTAACTGAATCAATACAAACCTTCTTTCAAGTATGAGCAAATCCTCTACACCCTCCTTTGCCATTTCCCCCAATTTCCTTTCCCTCTTCAACAAGGAAAACTGACAGACAGACAGTACCTGGTTCATTACGCTTCCAAAATCCATTCTGCTGGGCTGTTTTATTAGAAAGTGGACCTCCAAGGTAAGGCTTACTAGATCCAAGGGGTAGGGGACTCTTGGCCTCACCTTTAGTTCGCTTCTCCCTTCTTCATGGTCCACAAGAAGCAACAAAATGTTTGTGAAACAGTGCAGATAGTATTAGTCAAAGCTGGCAGTGGAAAAGAGGTTACACAGTATTCTGCTAGGAATGAAGAGAAGCCAAGGTCTTGCATTCAGATATTGGCAAAAGGGGACACAGACCAGAGGCTTTTCGGGGTGGTAGAGCTTTGAGGAGAGCAGTGTGCAGTGATAAAGCAAAGAGGGGGAAAGCTTTCAGAACTGCCTGGAAAGGGATTTTCCTCCTTCTCAATCTCCACCTTATTAGCACAGCCTCTCCCCCCCCCCCGCCCCGTGCATCGCTGTCCAAGTACAACATTGCACACGCCCAAAAACAACATCACTAACTGTGTAGGGCTCTCTCCCTTTCTTTTCTTTTTTTCCCCTTTTCTCCTCCTTCAGCTTTAAAGGGCATGGCATCCATAAAGCAGCCTGTATGAAGAACCAGGGGGGTGGGCAAGGGAGCTGGGGCAGGGGCAGCAAGAAAAGAAGCAATCCTGGAATGAAGGGGGAAGTGAAATAAAACATCACAAGAACACTGTGCAAACTGGATGCCTATTTGAGTCTCATCTAGACTGGAAAGCTGGCATGTCATCAGGCCACAGTGGTAGAGAGCTCTGTCCTGGCTATTCTCTCTCAGGCACTTTATAGTTTGCATCATATACTCCATTTAAAAAAATTACATAAAGGTCAGCATCTGCACAGAACTCACAGTGGTCAGCTCTGCACATGAGGGGGCCAAATGGATTGAACCAATTTAGCCTGTAGGTGGGGAGCGGGAATCATATTCAAAAATATCTCCTTGTGCTAAGTTCCCTGCCAGATGAAAACTAACACAGCAGGAAACAGAATGAACTAGAACAGTTTCCCCTGATATGCTAGATTTTCTTCTAGCTTTTTTTAATATAGGAAAACATTGTTGTTGTTGTTGTTATATATATTCCACATTTTCCCCACAATCGGGACACAAAGTGGCTTATAAATTAAAAAAACAATACAATTAAAACTTACAAAAGTGGGCATTAAAATAGAATTAAACTAGTATAGTATCAAAATATATCACTGATTAAAAATGAAATGCCATTTAAAAGATAAAAGTGCTTAAGAACACTACATATTAAAACAGTTAAAATACTAAACATGACCACAGAAATCTCCAGTTGCCCCCCTCCCATATAACAGCTCCCATTGCCCAAGGTCCTTATAGTTGGATCTAGCTTGGGACTCTACTGTTAGGCAGTGT